AATAAGACCGACTTTGGCAAATGACGTATCCTATAAGAAATTTAACTAAATTATTACAAGAAAAGACACTAAAGGCTCCAAAAAAACACTTTCAAATTCTTTCCTAACAGGAACACCTAGAATTAAGATACTTTTCAGTAGTCTTAAAAAGTTTACAAGTTTTCAGAACATTTGATTTTACAATTTCAAAGTTAACTAGTAGTTTCACCCCACATCTTGTTTTTTAATTTAAGATAAGGTGCTTTATCATTTCATTTTTAAGAAAATAGGCTAAAATTGACCTTGAAGCTTTTTTTTTTTGTAAAAACCTCAGTTTTTATATGGATCCGCAGGAAAGAGCTTTGGAGACTCTAGTGTCTTTTGTTATAATAATTTAATTTAATTTCTTAGAGGATACGTCATATTTCTTATCTTAGCAGGTACTAGCTCCAGCCTCTATAATCCGAACCCACGATTATCCGAACATCCACTAATCCGAACAGGGGCTAGTTGAAGTCGATATCTCTTTAATCCGAACAAAAACTCTGCAATTCGAACTGAACTTGAAAACATGCACCTACTTGCAAAAATGATGCAAGTTCTTTCTCTACGTGTTGTATTGAATTTTTTAAAAATTTTAAAAATTGTGATATTCCAAAGCACTGGATTAATTAACTAATTCTGGAAACAAGGTTGAAGTTATCGAAGAAATGAGGCCGAAAGTGACTTCTGCGACCGTCTAAGAAAATAAAAGATGGGTGGGCTAGGCTAGTATTTGACAAAATAAGACTCATTTTGGCAAATGACCTACTCATCTAAGAAAAGGTACTAGACCCGCCCACCCACCCTTTATTTTCTTAGAAGAGTGGATCATCTGCCAAAATCAGTCATTCTAACAACTACTAGCCCCACCCACCCACCCTTATTTTCTTAGAGGATATGTCATTTGCAAAAATCAGTCTCATACTTGACAAAATAAGAGTGATTTTGGGAGATGACCTATTCTTTATTTTCTTAGAGGGTAGGTTATTTGGGAAGGCTAGCCCCACCCACCCGCTCTTTGTTTTCTTAGAGAGTAGATCATTTGCCGAAATCAGTCTTATCGTAGCGAGTAATACCAAATTTTTCAGTTTCAGCGATTGCCATGTTCACTGTAACTGTAATTTTCAATTTTTGGATTTTTCGATTTTTCAAAATTTCGGTTCGAATAAATTTGTTCTTTTAGTAAAAAATCGAAAAATGACAAATCGTGAAAAGGAAAAATCTTGACTTGAGAACTTGGAAAATTAAAAATCAAAAAATTCCAAAATTGTCAAGTTAAAATTTGAAAAATCAAAAGATTGAAATTAAAAACTGCAAAATTGTCAAAAAATTATCAAATGAAGTATCCAAAAGTTGAAAAACTAAAAAGAAATGAAAACAGGAATTTCGAATTCGATTTTATAAGATTTGTTTTTTTTTCAATTTTTCGAAACTTTAGTTTTAGATTTTCCGATTTCTTATTTATCTGATTTTTCAATTTGTCATTTTTTGATTTTTAAATTTGCTTATTTTTAGCAAGTACTAGCCCCACCCGCCACCCTCCCAGCCTCTATTTTCCTAGAAGAATAAATCATCTGCAAAAATCAGTCTCCTACTTGCCAAGATAAGACTGATGTTGGCAGATGACCTACTCTTCTAAGAAAATAAAGGGTGGGTGGGCGGGGCTAACACCTTTTCTTAGAAGAGTAGGTCATTTGTCAAAAGAGTCTTATTTTGGCAGATACTAGCCTGGCCCACCCGCTTTTTATTTTCTTAGAGGGTTGGTTATTTGGCAAATACTAACACAGTGTAAAATTTCATTTTTGAAAAAGTTGTCTAAAAATTCTGAAAAAATTCAGATATATATATCCCAACGTGCTGATTCCAAAAATATAGCATGTTTATGATAACGGAAAATTCGGTGTAAAAATTCGAATTTTTTGAAATTTTTGAAAATCGCGATATTTCAATGGACGATTCTGGAAAAACGGTGTAAGTTATCGAAGAAATGAAGCCAGAAGTGACTTTTATGGTAATATTTTTTTAGAATGTACCTATCTATTATCCATTGTTGGTTAGAATACTTTATTTCTGTTTAATAAAATTAAGGTTTATTTCTTGCAATTTGTTTTCAGCAGTGTATGAAGTTATTGTTCAATTACCTCTTAGCGCTTTTTGCGATAACAAGACATAACGATGGAAGTGTCTTGTTCAACAAAATAAACCATTTTCACAGTCTTCGCTTCCTAGCACAAAAATAAAATTTTCGTACACAACCACCAAGAGTTCTGAAAATGATTGTTTTGTTGTTTTGAGTTTTGATCAACGAGAATTACTGTAATTCCCTGTAACGTTTAAAATGCGCGGCGCGCAACGAGGCGCAAGCGACGGCGAGAGAGAAAAAAAAGGAGAGGTGATAAGTCGGTACGAGAAAACGACGCCATTTTGGTGAGGCGAAAGCAAATCGGTGCCGAGCGAGGGAAAGAGTGCCTATAAGACCTGGGTGAGTGACGACAAAAATGCGACCAGAGATAACGTCCCCTTTCGACGCAGGTTTTTTTTTGTTCTTCGTATTCCTTTTCGTCACCTTCGAGATTCTGAGAGACATCCTGGTGGCGTGGAATCCAGGAAACGCACAGGCAGACCCCGACAGAACGCGGAGAGACCGGAGTTCCCGAGCCATCACTGCGACAGGGAGTTCGATCACACGATATTGGTACCAGTTCGGTGCGTCGCAAGGGAGTGTGCACATACCGCCCGGGAGAGCTCCGGGAGGGTTTTCGCGTGAGCGAGTTTTCGGGCAAATCGTCACCGGTCGCCAACACCCTAGAAACGCCGCCTATTTTCAACCAAACCGTTGCTGACGCCAATTGAATTGCTTTTTTATTTATATTTTTTTTGTACATAGCACTGTATTATATACTAATTAAGTCTGCCCGGGTGTTCGTTGCTTTTTCCCTTTTCTTCCCTTTCATCTCTTTCTTCTACTCTTCTTTCTTTCTTTGCTTTCCTTTCATCTTTTTTCTGTATGCCCTCTCGAGGCATGCTGGCGCCCTGGTTTCGATATCTGATCCGCCTTTGAGCGACCCACCATCCCGCACCGACGAAGGAGTTAGTCAGGCCGTGGGCGTTCTTTTGAGGAGAATGTCACAAAAGTAAATGGCGCTCACCATCGTGGGGCACCGCTCGAGGCCAGAAGGGCTTTAGAAGGCAAACTTTGAGCCGTACTGTGGATTTGTTAGTTGTCGGGTTCTTTTCTTCTTCGTTTTTCTTTTCTTTCTCTGTTTTTTTACTCTCTATCCTGTCCGGGAAAGCCACGACAATTAGTATAGAATTAGATCTAGGTAGTGTGAATTTTTTTACCGTGGTATTATTGTATCGTAGTGTATTACTATGGCAAATGTAAGGTACATATACTTATGATATGGAACCGAACTATCTGAAGATCAACGAAATCGACTACGAGTGGCGAATAAGAGGAGTAGCTTGAACTGACCGGGTCGACGTAAACACAAAAAGGAAGAATTTGAGGAGAAGGCTACGGCAAGATCAGTCACGGCCCACTATTGCTTATACGACGTCACAGTTTGTGTTTCAAGACGAAAAGAAGGATGTTGCCGCCACGATAGCAGAAATACGTGAGTTGCTGAAACAATTTGACGCATCTCGTGTAGAAGCTAACAGGAGGCTACAAACCAGGATCAACCACGTGTTGGGAAGAATAGGTAGATTTTGTGCAGACCCCGCCAGTGGTTATGGTGACGAGGCAGCAGCGTATAAGTTGGACAATACGTTGATTGTGGTAGCGTTCGATGAAACACGTTTAGAGATAATTGATGCAGCCAGTTCAGAAGGACGTTCAGATGATGCAGATGTACGAGGAGCGGTGCAAAAATACCACCAGTGTACAAATGGCGAATTACCCTTGATGGTAAATCGGTGAGTTCATTTCTGCAGCGAAGTGATGAACTTAGAAGGGTGAGAAGTACGTCGAAAGAGGAATTGTTCCGATCTGCCGTAGATTTATTTCAAGATCAAGCGCTCATATGGTATCGTTCAATCAGAGATTCAGTGCACAGTTGGGATTCGTTAGTACAGGCTTTGAGGCGAGGCTTTTACCACCCGATTACGATGAGGAATTGTGGAGAGAGATTCGTAGTAGGACACAAGGTTATAGCGAACGTGTTGCCATTTACATAGCTGCAATGGCGAATTTATTTAGTCGTCTCTCACAACCGCCACCCGGAGAAGTTAGGTTAAGCACCATTAGAAAAAACTTGCTGTCAAAGTTCCAAACTATAATAGCTTTGCATGAGATAACATCCATTGAACAGTTGGCCGATGTTTGCAGAACGTTAAAAGCCGCCTTTACGACACAACAACGATTCCAATCCCCACCACGGAAAAGTGTTACGTTGCTAGAACCGGATGTGGCCTGCTCTGAGACGTCGGTAGATACAGAGGCCCATTCGTCTAAGTCGAGGCATTCACGGTCACATTGTGTCCGACCTGAAGTTAGTGAACTGCGATGTTACAACTGCAATCGTACTTGTCATTTTAAGCGAGATTGTCGTGAATCCAAGAAGGAACCAGCGTGCTTTGGATGTGGACGACGAGGCGTAATCCGACCTAACTATCCGAAGTATTAGAAAAACTACCAGACAGACAACACGCAGCCAAGAGCCCGCGCGAGTGATCTGGTGGATGTCAAAAGGCTCAGAAAAAACGTGGCATATCACCACACGAGTGGAGAGAGTGGTTGGCGAAGGTGAAGAGTTTTTGCGGTTCTTCATCAAGATATCTGAAAGGGTGTACAAGAAAAGCAGCGTTTAAACAGATGCTATGTTTGAGGTGGACAAAAAATGTAATAGTCGGCCCCATTTGAAAATTGAAGCGTATGGACATTCATTGGTTGCATTAGTGGATAGTGAAGCGTCTATCTCGGTAATAGGGGAGAACGGTCTGTATCTGGTAGAGTTATTTAGTCTACATGTGTACAAATCAGGAACAGAAGGTGTGAATACGGCAGAAGGACGTATGCAGAAAATTAAGGGGTATGTTCCGTGGCCTATATCGGTAGATGGAACATGCAAGGTCATGAAGTTTTGGTTGATACCGACCATCCGCCATTTTGCAATTTTGGGCAATGGTTTTTGCGAGAAATTTGGAACGGTAATAGATTGGAACCGGAAAACTATTGTTGTAAATAATAAAAGTGAAGGATGTGAGGGGAGAGTTGAATCGTGGGCAGGAACAAAACTTGCGAAAGGTTATTGGGAAATTTAAGTCTCTTTCGTGGGAAGCAGGAACCAAGTTGGGCAGAACCAACAAAATAATGCACAAAATTGACACGGGTGAAGCTGAACCAAGCAGGCAGAAATATCACCACATGTCTCCATATATGTATGTTACAACATTTGAACGGCGAGTTAGACAAAATGTTAGAACTAGGGGTAGTACAACCATCTTTATCTCCGTGGGCATCACCAGTAGTGTTGATAAAGAAATGCTCAGGCGAGTATAGATTTTGCTTTGATGGACGTAAGCTTAACTCAGTCACGAAGTGCGACGCTTATCCGTTGCCGCACATTGACAGTATTTTGAGCAAATTAACGGGAGCTCAGTTTCTGAGTAGTATAGATCTTAAAGCTGCGTTCTGGCAGATTCCCTTAGATTCCAACTCTAAAGAAAAAACTGCTTTTGTAATACCATCAAGAGGTCTATCTATATGAATTTAATGTAGGTACTGCCGTTTGGGTTGAATAATGCAGTGCAAACCCAACAACGTCTTATGGATACGATTTTTGGACCTTCATTAGAACCATTTGTTTTTGTGCATCTAGATGACGTGCTGATAGCGACACCCAATTTTGACAAGCACTTGGAGGTGTTAACAACAGGTATATGGAAAACTGGATGACGCCAATCTTACTAACAACTTTGACAAATGTGAATTTTGTAGAGCGAGTTTTCGTTATTTAGGATTCATAACTGACAGGGGTTGTGAACAGATCCTGAGAAAGTGAGAGCGATGGTGGAATATTCACGTCCCAACACGCGAACAAAAGTGAAACATTTCTTGGGAACTGCAGGTTGGTATAGGAGATTTGTCCCCAATTTTGCGGTGATGAGTGCACCTACAACTCAGTTCATTAAAGGGCAAAACAAAGGTCAGGGGATCAGTTGGACGACCGAAGCAGAGGAAAGTTTTGTGAAGATCAAAGAGGCGCTATAGTATCAGCACCTGTGCTTGCCAGTCCTGATTTTTTTAAATTATTTTCAATACAATGCGACGCATCAGATAGAGGTTTAGGATGTGTGCTTGTACAGGCGAATGAAGACGGAAAGGAGATTCCGGTAGCTTACGCTAGCCGAATACTAACAGATCAAGAAAGAAAATACACAGTTACTGAGAAAGAATGTTTAGGAGTATTGTTTGTGTGAGAAGTTCAGGGCATATGTGGAAGGTACAAAGTTTAAAATTATAACTGACCATTACAGCTTGTTGTGGCTCAATCAGTTGAAAAATTCAACAGGTAGATTGGCACGTTGGGCTATGAAGCTACAGCAATACGACTGTGAGATCGAACATAGGAAAGTAGCGTTGAAAGTGATCCCAGACGCACTGTCGAGAGCGCCACGCGAAGTCGCGGTACTGACTATGGTAAAAGGTGAGTGCATGAAAGATCCGGAATATAGACGTCGATTTGAAAGTCAGCAAATTTCCAGATGGTAATGCAGTGTGGAAGATACAAGATGACTCCCAGCTGTTTAGGCGTTTGAGGAGCCAAAATGGCAATCCAGGGTGGAAATTATATGTAGCAGAACCATACCGAATAGAGGTCATGAAATCATGTCATGATGAACCAATTGCTGCGCACCTAGACATGTTCAAGACTTTGAAAAGAGTGCTGGAGCTTTATTATTGGTCACGCATGCGTAAGGATGTGCAACGTTATGTGAGAAGCTGTGACGTGTGTAAGGCGCAGAAGCCACTCAATTTGGTGCCACCAGGATTGATGGGGAAGTCCCGTAAGGTCTCCTACCCGTGGCAGATGGTTGCGTTGGACCTGATAGGACCATTACCAAGGTCGTCTAAAGGTAATAAATTTTTGCTTGTGGTATCAGACTAGTTCACGAAGTTTGGCTTATTGAAGCCGCTGCGACAGGCGACTAGCAGCAGTAGCACCACCTATCTACGAGAGAATGTCTTTTATGTCTTCGGCGTACCGCAAGTGATAGTGTGCGATAATGGGAAGCAGTTGACGAGCAACATGTTTAGAGGATTGGCCAAGGAGTTTGGAAGCCAATTATGGTTTAATTGCAAATATCTTCCTCAGGTGAATCCTGTGGAAAGGGTAAACAAAGTAGTAGGAGCAGCAATACGCTCGTACAGAAAAGATAAGCTACATGACAGGTGGGATTCTAACATCCACGAAATTGGCTACGCGTTGAGAACCGCCGTCCACGAATCGACAGGATATACTCCCGTTTTTTTAAATTTCGGCCGTTTTGTACCAGTGCACGGATCACTGTACGGTAAAGACGAAAACCTACACCAGTTCGATCTTCAACCTACTTGCAGGGACATTTACGCGGAAAGTATGGATCGTTTGTTGCCGATGTATGCTGAGGTAAAGAGAAAACTTGATAAGGCGTATCACAGAAATTGTCATTATTATAATCTAAGGAGACGCGATGCACCTTTGTATGCCGTTGGTGATACGGTGTGGAAGAAAAATTACTTCCTATCGGATGCTTCTAAAAGATATGCCGCTAAATTGGAACCGAAGTTCGTGAAGTGCAAGATTGCGGAGGTCTTTTCACCTCTAGTGTACCGGTTGATGACGGAAAATGGTGTGGATCTTGAGAGATACCATACCAAGGATTTGAAACTTGATCAGACAAGAAACTCGGATTAGATGCTGTGATGAAGGTGAAGAGTGCATGAAGAAGGACGATAGATCTCGTGAATGGAGTGTGAACGGTTAGGGTGTTTGGTTGTGTATAAAATAGATCTCGATTTTGACTTTTTTTTTAGGCACTAGTGTCGGATTTGTAGGATTTGTTGGATTTGTAGGATTTGTCAAATTTGTAAGATTTATCAGATTTGTAGGATTTGTCATATTTGCCAGATTAGCCGGATGTGAAAATTTAATCATATATACGCGGAGTAGACAGAAATATTAGATTTATGAATCGTGAAGTAGCTAATTATACCGGATTTAGACATGTAAAAATTGACTAGATGATGGACTGGAGTTTGCCCATGTATGTCTGGAAATGACGGGCCATCCAATAAGGGAAGTAGTTGGATGAGTGGTCCACGTCCTGTAGGGAAACTCGAAATAGATATAGTTAGTAAATAGGTAGGATAAGTTTAGGAAAAAAATTAATAATCCCCGTCATTATTATTATAATTCCAGATCTTATTAATTTTTTTGGGTAACTAACGGGGGTGTGTAAGGTTTAAAATGCGCGGCGCGCAACGAGGCGAAAGCGACGGCGAGAGAAAAAAAAAAGGAGAGGTGATAAGTCGGTGTGAGAAAACGACGCCATTTTGGTGAGGCGAGAGAAAATCGGTGCCGAGCAAGGGAAAGAGTGTCTATAAGACCTGGGTGAGTGACGACAAAAATGCGACCAGGGATAACGTTCCCTTTCGACCCAGGTTTTTTTTTGTTCTTCGTATTCCTTTTCGTCACCTTCGAGATTCTGCGAGACACCCTGGTGGCGCGGAATCCAGGAAAGGCACAGGCAGACCCCGACAGAATGTGGAGAGACCGGAGTTCCCGAGTCATCACCGCGACAGGGACGCGTCGTTCGATCACACGATATTGGTACCAATTCGGTGAGTCACGGGGGAGTGTGCACATACCGTCCGGGAGCTCCGGGAGGGTTTTCGCGTGGGCGAGTTTTCGGGCAAATCGTCACCGGTGGCCCACACCCTAGAAACGCCGCCTGTTTTCAACCAAACCGATGCTGACGCCAATTGAATTGTTTTTTTATTTATTTATATTTTTTTGTACATAGCACTGTATTATATACTAATTAAGTCTACCCGGGTGTTCGTTGCTTTTTCCCCTTTTCTTCCCTTTTATCTCTTTCTTCTACTCTTCTTTCTTTCTTTGCTTTCCTTTCGTCTTTTTTCTGTATGCCCTCTCGAGGGATGCTGGCGCCATGGTTTCGATATCTGATCCACCTTTGATCGACCCACCACCCCGTACCGACGAAGGAGTTAGTCAGGCCGTGGGCGTTCTTTTGAGGAGGATGTCACATCGCACTTCAAAAACATTAAAATAATAAAAACGCCGACTTTAAATGACAGGTTACAAATGACATTAGACATTAATGTGACAAGTGAGAACTGTCATAATGATGCATAATCACGGGCATAATCAGCGAAGCGGGATTTTTGAAATCCACGGCCAACTACGCCCTTAGAATCATTTGTAAAAGCCCTATATGATGGATGCTTATGATGACATAGCTCATCTGAATTGACATTACTGTCACATTTTGGTGACAGTTGATGTTCAGGTTATTTTCAAAAACTTGAATTTCCACTTGAAAAAAGGGAACACAGTATAATTTCTTTGTGATATTAACTTGTTAACCGCTATTTTATTTGACAAATCGGTAAAGCAGATCACAGATATTAACGGCAGTCACATCGAATATCACATCAGAATAGGCACCTTATATTCAAATCAAAATATTCCTTGTGACTTATGATAAGTTGCTTATGATAAAATCATTAGATGTAAACGTAAAATTTTAGCGTATGACAAAATCACGTGACTAGTCATGTGCTTAAATCACATAACGTAAAGGCGCCTTTAAACAAAATGAGTTCTATCATTCTCGAGAAAAAAATAAAAATGTTATTGTGAAGCAAAAAATTAAATTATTTATTTATCGAACAACAAATCTGTTTGAAATTTAAATATGTAAAATTTCGAATCTCATAATTTGAAACTAAATCTTTCTTAGAAAAAATATCGAAAGTACTTATAACATCGATAAAAAAGTTGCTTATTTTTTTCATTTCAGATTCATCAAAATTTTTAAATCTTTTTTATTTATTTCACATTATTAGTCATTCCCATATTACTTGTTCTGGGCGTGAAGTAAGATTTCTTTCCAAACCTAACGCTGAAAGGCAAAACAGATTGCAAGAACGGAGAAACGGACAACGGTACTGTATCGATTTCTGCCCGGACATGGGACAAATCTATCTATGTTTCCCTTCGCCCAAGCGGGACATGCGGCAAATCTGCCCGGAACAGTAGAAGCAAAGATGCCTCGAACGCGCCTGGTCTATGTGGCAAACCAGTTCTCAGGCGACAACGGGTCCCTACCAGTGGCGGCTCGTGACTTTTTCTGTTGGGGGGGCAAAATTAATACACAGTATTATGCTAAATTTAAAATTTATGCTAGGTAAAAATTAGTGTTTCTTTTTATCAAAAATTTAGAAAAATGTCAAGTTAGAGGTCCGTTAGCCAGAAATTATCGATTGAAAATTGATAATTGAAAATCGATAATTTCTGTTCACCATCTGGAACCACGAGGAGGTGGACCTAATTCCATACTTCCCCAACAGTGATGGGGCGAACTCAAAGTTCCTTTTAAATTTGTTGACATAAGAAATATAAATAAAATTTTGTTAATCGCGTGTCCAGTAGATGCAATAGTTATCCCCCACTTTAAATTCTTTTCAATTTTTTTAATTAATATTTCTATATATAAAATCCATACGTCTTTCTTTGTTACGAACAAAATGTTCTATAACTAGTTCATTGAAATTCGTGCTTTCTTGCACTAGTTTTTTTTCTATTGAACACATTGCCAAGGCACACAATCTTTCTTGACACATTGTATTTCGTAAAAATGTCTTTATACGTTTTAACGTCGAAAAACATCGTTCGCATTCATTTGTCACCATCGGTAATGTGCAAATAATTTTCAATAATTTTTATGTTTCTGAAAATACGTCTAATAAATTGTTTTCATACATAAACTTCAAGAATGTTAAGGCACCATTTGCTGTTGAAAAATCGGGATGATTATAAATAACGTTTAACTCATTTTTTAACACATTAAGATTTAAATCATATTTTGTAGTACATAATTCAGCTTCTTTTGATGGAAAATTTAGTTGAAAATTGAAAATAAGCTAGTCTGAAACAAATTTGCTGCTGTAATATAATCTGCTTCTAAAAATCGATCATTTATACTAAATTTAATATTATCACAAATTTCTTTAGCAATTGCAATTTTATTATCATTAAAATGAGACCGCTTTTTTGAAGATTCACCCTCTTCGTTTTCTTCTCGGTAATAATCGTAGTCGATAGAATCTGTTATACTATTTCCAGCGATAGATTGGAAAATTTTGAATTCACAATCGCCAACCGGAGAATCCAAAATATACTAACATTATACGCTTAAAGCAGTTAAAGAGTTGTAGTTTAAGTTGGCAACCAACGTTCCTTTTCCCGCGCAACGAATTTCCTACGCCTCTATGCCTGCGCCAGTCGGCCGGTTTCGTTTAACCTGTGTTTTGGTCGATCAGCTAATTGACGTTAATTTAAAATTTTGGTTCAAAAAGTTAAAAAGTGTGTTTTTTGCGTTTAGCGTTTGTGTTTTTTTACTTGTTTTGATTTGTTAGGTATGATATTATAGACCTTTGTGCTGTTTTTTGTATAGTGGCTGAAGTTTGGACATTTTAGGTTTAGTTGTTTGTGTCAAAAAACGTTTCATATGGACCCCATGGAGGACATTACGAATAAAATTCATAATTACGCAAGAGTGAGTTGTTGATTTATTCTGTGCAATCATTATATACCATTATATTTTGTAGCCCTCTTCAACCCGGTGCAGTATGACTGTTGTTGACAACATCGTGGCACAGAAAATGATTGCCAATGCGTATTCATCTTTCAAGAAGGAACATTTTAATTTAAGATGCCCTACAGAGGTTGTTACTTCAATATAAAGTACATAATGTTATTCGAAGTGTATGTTCCAGTATAGATAATATTGTCTGTTGGAAATAAATTGTGTTATTATTAAAAGTAATTTTACGTAGTTCAACATTATTTTCAAATTTCCTTATATTTCAAACATATTTCAAATAAAGCGCCTTTGGCACTACTTTTTATAGCGGTCTATTTGGTGACTTTTCTGTCAGCTAATCTATCGGTGGAAATACTATACATGTTGTATGGCAAGTTTAAAAGAAGTAATGTTTTTTGAAGTTTAATTAGGTCCATTTCGGGAATTTGAAGTTGGTTGAAAAGTATCTCGGTACTAGGCATGATTCTGTGAAAGAACTATTACCAAAAATTAAAATCGTAATCTTCTAATGTTTTCCGTAAACTACTTGCCTTGGCAATTGTTAATTTGTCACTATTTTTATCTTCCATTATAATTTGAAAGCAGTTAATCAAATCATTTTTAAAACTATGTACAGTATTGACTATTCGTGACTTAAAGTTCCATCTAGTCGGACAATTTCTTGGTAATCTTTTAGAAACGATATCATCAAGTATTTTTATACGTTTAGGAGATCTTGAAAAAAACGAGGAAAATGATTCTAAATTTGAAAAAAAAAGTCTTACTTGGCCGTGTGCTGATGCCGCCTTTTCTATAATTAAATTCAACTGGTGAGCATAGCAGTGAATAAACTGAGCTTTAGAATAATGTTCCTTGATTTTTGCTTGTACCCCATTGTCTTCCACTCATAACCGAAGCACCATCATAAGACTGAGATATAAGTTTTTTTGAATTTTGATTGATTTCAAGTTTTTCGAGCTCATTTAAAATAATACTAGAAATACAATCAGCTGTGTGATCTGTTGGATTAATGAATCCTAAAAATCTTTCAAATATTTTACCTTTCAATTCATATCTAACGACAAAAACCAGCTGCGACTGTGAAGCTACATCTGTAGTTTCATCAGCTAAAATAGATATATAGTCCGCTTCCAAAATTTCGTCTTTGATTAAATTAATACAAACAGCATAAATTGAATCAAGTAGTTCGTTTTGTATGGTTTTTGAAAGACCCATAAAAACGCGATTGTTCGTTTTTTCTACATGAGAGTTTAATGTAGTGTCAAGCTCTGCCATTAAATTAATTAAACCTTTGAAAATTCCCGGATTTGTAGAATCATGCGTTTCATCATGCCCCCTTAAAGCCAACTCAAAGATTCCACAAAAATTTTATACCGTCAATCAGTTTATTTAAAATGTATCTATTCTGTTTTACCTGACTGATCATTATGTTTCTCGACGTTCTCTCTATAAGCACTATTTAACTGATTTCTTATGTCTACTTTACCTAAGACTGCGAACGATACGTTGAGATTTAAGTGTTTTTTACTCGAGCGATGCTTTTTTACGTTTTCCCCAAAATGTTTTAAGTCCGTGATTCCGGTTTCAGTCCAAGCTTTATCAACTTCTCCGTTATTCATAAGGGTACATACAAAACAGAAAAGGGCGTTTTTCGCGTTCCAACCACATAACCACCACTCACTTTGATACATAGTCTTATTAGATTTTCGATGCACGAGTTTGTCTTTAACTTTAGACGACATAGCAATGTCCAAATCGGGTCTTGGCGGTCCAACGTTTTTTATTAATAGTTTTTCATCATGGCTTAATTTATTTTCAGATTGTAGCCGCAAAATTCTCGCAATTGAATTCATATTGATATTATTGACAACTCTGCAACACAGTTTTTTAAGTTTCTTAAAATCACTGCAAACGCACAGAAAACTAACAAAGTTAGCAAATTTCACTCGACCGTTTTGTTTCAAAATCGATGACTAATAAATCGATAAAAGTGTATGCAATCGTATATGCATTTAAGTACTTAAGTTGCAGTACATAATTAAGACGAAGCGATTACTATGCCCTGCCAAGATGTTGCAATATCGTGCATTTGTGCATATAATCGCGAAGAGTGCCAAGTACGGGTCAATGAAAATATTCACAATTTGGCAACATGCAGGACGGGCAAAGGTGTATGATACCCTGCCGAGATGATGTCAGATTGTGTTCTGAACATAGGCAACTTGTAGGTTTCGTAATTAAATGCATTTTGATAATTAATAGCGCGAAATTCTCAGATTTAAAAATGTGCTTTCATTTTGGTGGGGCATTGCCCGTTTGCCCTTCCTGCACCAGCCGCCACTGGTCCCTACAAATATTCATCATGCTCCTGTAAAGTAGGCAACCCATTGCACTGTAAATCAAAAATTTGTCGAAATACTCGTTTTGTCTGCACCCCTCCTGTAGTAATTACTGGCAATATCTAAAGCATGTCTTAACGTAACACATACAAAACCTTAGGTATTCTACAAGATGACCAGACCGCATTACAAACGCTTGTTAAAACTTACCAAATTTTGACTCATTATAGGGGCAATTCTGAATCAAGTCTATTAAAACTTGAAGGTGGTTAAAAAATAAACAGTCAATCACATTTTTTAGGAATTTAACTTATTGCTATGGAAATTTGCAATTTAACACCCTTTACAGAATTGCCCCTAATATCTAGAAATAATGATTCAAATTTTAAAAACATATTGTGGTTATGTTACAGACCATCTTTTAATAAGACAAGTGCGTTTATAAAATTAGATTATCATATTAAAGTTGCGAGAACCGTACGATAAATAGTAGGTATTTTTGAGTTTGTTTGCTTGGGATTGCTCGTCCTCATTCTGATATGTTTTAATCTGAATTTAACTAACAGTCGAAAATTCCGATAAAAAATATTTAAAATGACATTTGACAACAGTAAAAATAACTTTGGGGATCGTAGTCAAACAAATTATTATTAAATTATTATTAACTTAATATTAAGCTGTCTATTAGAAATGCAATTCATTAAAATAAATTATTTCTTGAACTTTGAAGTTTAATATTTTCAGAAGTTTGGTGCAGGAATTTTTTTACTGAAGTATAACCGTGGCGATCTGAAATTTGTAGTCCCATTGTAATTAGTCGGATTAAATGAATTAAAAACTGCAAAGCAATCAAAATTTAGTGACACCACAGTATAACAATAAAACGATGAAAGTCACCATGATTCAATACATCAAAGTTAATCAATCAAAGTTACATCGTGAATCGAATTCTCCATCACTTAAAAAAACATGTTAAATACGGTCAAAATCACAATAATGTTGTTCGGTACACACTTCAATATGAGCAGCGTATCAGGAAATGATGTTAAAAATCCAGGTCATAGAACACATAAATCACAGTACAAAAACAGCATGAAATCCCCTTTCCCTGTTCTTCACGATGACATTTATTTCACAGATAATGTTCAAAATAAAACAATGTAAAATTAAATCGTGAATCTGCTAATTACTGTGTTAGAATTCCCAAATAAAAATTTATTAAATTTCAATAACAATTTAAGAAAAACCATCCATCTCCTTTGACATTTCGCCATTTGAAATCTTATAAATTATTATATATCTCCATCTCATAATATTGCTAATTTCTTGGTTGTCCTACTAGAAAATAAAATGTTTCTTTTCTAGACATTGCGTGAAATGAAATGAAAATCCAACAGATGCTCAGTCTAGTCAACGTAAGTCTAAACAATCAATGAGGCAGTGTCGGGAATTTCTGACAGCGGAAATAAATTCAAGCTCACTTCTGACAAACGCGTTAAAAATGTTTAGTAATGTCGTGATGTTAGAAAATTCACCTACGTTGCGCACTACGAATCCGTAAACCTTTACCTTCCTCTGAACATGTTCCGCAAGTGATAGTTTTTTATCGAAAACCATACCTAGGTCGGTAACTACTTCTGGTCTACAAAGTAGAAATAAGAAAATTCTTTGTTCTATAATTCCACAATATTTCACTAGACATAAGTCCAGACGGCACCACACATTTCTTTTAATTGACAGGTTACTTGTTCTTGTTTTAATTATAAGTTAAAATATGTACTTGTAAACGTTTACTTATACATGGAGATAACGGTACCGACTTTTTTAATTTACAGCAGCTTTGCCCTTAAAAGGTTAAACTTTACTAATAAAATGAGGCGGGCAAGTTTCTAACACATTTGACTTCACAATTAAAACTTGCATCCTCTCACTACTACTGACAGAATAAATCTAAAAATCGACTATTGAAGCAAAAGCTTTCCTCCTCAAGTAAAAAGGCAAATCTACATTACAAAATGTTTTTCTGCCGCTAAATTTAACTTGAACCGGCACACTACAATACTTTCTGAGAGAGATTAACTGACACTTTTTCCCAGTGTTTTCTTTTTATCACGCTTTTATTAGCTTGGGTTGTATGTATCTATGTATGTATGTAACGGAATCTTTGAGCTTAATTTTCATCGGTTTCTAAAAGTCTGATCATCTTGAAACTTTGCACACGTCTCAAGGATCGATGACAATGCAATAATTTGATAACAGTTTCCCATTATCCTTATTAGGACCGCCAGGATTTATAAATTCTTTTATGGATCCTGTGTAGTGGAGTAAAAGAGATAAAGCTAGCGCGCGATCTGCGCATGCCTGTAGTATCTGGTTTACTCTTCGTTGTAATAATTATAGTCTTGATTAAAATACAAATAACGGATATTAAATGAAAAAAACAAGAACGGACTTTTAATTAACTAAACGTGTGCAAATAAAATGGCTGATCGCATCTTAATTGTGTCAGTATACACCACGGTTATCTCTCTCCGTGTCGATTATACCGATCTATACCGATTATTTCTGTTTCAAGGACAATTTCTGCATAGCTTTGGTTTTACAGTCGGTAAAGAAGGAATTAATTATAATTAAAACATATCTAATCATGAATTCTCACCAACTTAAATAAAGATAACAAATTTTGATTCAGAAATACAAACATGGAGGAAAATTAACTATTTGGGGGGTAAAACTAACCACAATGATGAATTGTGTCCCGTTGGTCCGTGAGGGCGATTGATTTCGAACTAATTCCCGTTGATCGATCATACGGAGACCACTGAGTGGTTCTTTCTAGAAAAATCTAAATAAGTAATTAATTCCCCAATTTATGAATTTGTC